TCGGGCACGACGAAGGTCGCGAGCGCGAGCCACCTCGGGCCGTAGACGAGCGACGGCGCCGCGCGGCGCCGCTCCGCGAGCCACCGGAGCTTGACCCACGGGAACTTCTCCGCGGCGAGGAACGGCCCGACGCCGCCGGCCCGGACCACCGCCTCGAGCCAGTCGGCGATGGCGACCGCGTCGCGGCAGCCCGACGTCCGCGAGAGCTCCGCGGCCGTCTGGCCGTCGCGCGTCTCGAGGCCGACGTCGGCGCCCCGCCTCGCGACGTATCGCACCGCAGCGAACTGCCCCTCCATCGCCGCGTCGTGCAGCGGCGACCAGCCGAGCTGGTCCGGCGCGTCGAGCGCGGCCCGGCCCACGTAGCGGAGCAGCAGCGACACGGCGTCGACGTTGCCGCGGCGCGCCGCGAGGTGCGTCAGCGACGCGCCGTGCAGTCCCGGCGCCAGCGCGAGCTCGGGGCGCGTCGCGAGCATGCAGCGCAGCAGGTGCGTGTGGCCGAGCTCCAGCGCGCGGTGCGCGAGCGACGGCGTGCGAAAGTCGTCGTAGGGCTGCGCGAGGTCCAGCGTCGGGTCGTTCCGCACCAGCCGCGCGAGGCCCGCGACGTCGCCGGAGTCGATGACGCTGAGGAGCGGCTCGCGCACGAGCACTTTCTGCGACGGCTCCGGCATCTCCGGCATGCGCGCACGACGTCGGCGTCGCTGCTGCGCTCGTCGGTCGGCTGCTAGGGCACCCGGCCTCATCAAGGGGTAATAAATAGTATGGGGTGGCAGCTCAACGAGATTATGTTGCGCGAGCTCCTCGTACTGCAACCCATCGTTTTGGGGCAATGTTGACGACTTTTGGCCGGGGACTTTTCGACGCCGCCGTCGTCGACGCGGCCCCAGACGGACCGCAGCGGTATTCGCTCCCCCGCGAAGGCGCCCGCGACAAGACTTACGCGTCCGGGCGGTTCGGGTCCGGTGGAAGGAAACCGAGGCGCGCTGGAGGGCACCGTGTCCGGTTTGGCGCCACGCGAGGAAGGGGGTTTTGGGGCAGCTCTTGGACGTGTTCGCGATGATGATGGTCGTGGACCGTCTGCTGGCGCTGCAGAG